AAACTGATTATAATCTACCACAGACTTCCACGATTTCTCGACACTATCAACACTCCTCCTCGACCTCTCCACCTGCTCAAACGACATTCTCGATCGATCCCCATTTTGGGGCCCATTGTTTTTCACGGTCCTTTCTAACCTGTCCGTGCTGTGCCTGGGCTTCTCCCTCCAATCCGTGCTCCTCCTTGGCAGCTCGAACAATGACGAGTCTGTGCTCTTCCTTGATGGCTCGAGTTGCTCGGTACTTTTCCGCGTGCTGATCCTGCGGGAGGAGGACGGGCCCCGCTCAACAGTCGAGATGAATTTCTTGAGGTGCCTAATGTATTCCGGGTACAGCTCGAGGTTGCAGTGGGTCCCACCCTTTACCCACAGGGGCTCGTACTTGTGCTTGCACAGCTCCCACAGCTGTTTGCCGTGTGAGAAGTCCACCACCTCATCTGCCGTCCCCTGATTTCATCAACAGTGCGAAAATTTTCGAATTGAACAATGGGAATTTGATAGCCAGATCATATGCACATTAACGAACAGAACTTGAAAGGAAATTTGCCACATAAATGCAGAGATAGAAGAGTCATTCACAAAGAAAGATGCTACAATGACATAAAAAAATTGACAATGTTCTGTGAACTTGTACTTACATGAATGACGAGAACCGGACAATTAACCTGAGGTATTTTATCAATGTTCTGCAGAAAAAAAAGGAAGCAAGTGATAACTCGACCAATTATTTCTTTACAAAAACAAATGTAAAATGGTGGATCATGAGATCTCTTACCTTGTAGATGTCAAACCAGTATGTACGTTTCACTGCATACATAACTCTAACGCCTGATAGTATAGGGCTATGTAAAACAACGGCTCTTAAACGAGGAAGACGGCTCGCTAGATCCAAGGTGGGCCCACTCCCAACTGATTGTCCGTACAGTATCAAATCTTCCTGTTTGGTACCATAATTCTCCTCGAGACACTTAAATGCAGCTTCAATATCTGCATATGTGTTATGCTCACTGGGCTGTAAACACAATTACCACCATAAGGAGAATAGATTTGATGCACACATTAAACTCACATTTAAGTTCTTCAACCTAAAATGGGGATCACCACAACATCCCTAGAGGTTTGGGCTAATATCACCAAAAGAAAAAGAAAAAACCGAAAATTACGAAACATCTTGACAATTATGGAGGTATAAAGGTTATCCACTTAATCTTCGGAAATTATGGAGTTTTAGCCCAAACCTCGAGGGTTTTTTTTCTAATTTTTCAGAATAAAAAGGATGAAAGGGACAATTTCTGGTAAAAACACACCTTCCCAGATGACTGTCCATAGCCAGAATAGTCATACCTGATCATAATTCCGAGAACCATCATAAGCTATAATTTTTTCAGCTAAAATTTATGTTAACAACTACCAAGGACTCTGATTTGAATTTTTAAACTCCAAAATGCATCCACAAAAACAGAATCCCTTTTGAGACCAAACATAAATTCCATTAATAAGATGTTTACCAAAGATTTTACCTTTTCTACTACTAAGTAACTTCAGCACGCAGTTAATGTTAACGATTTGAACTTAACTCAGCTCGATATAGAAGCTAATGCATGTCAACTATCGAAGTTAAAGTAACATATATGATCCAGACGATGATCGACTTCCCAAGACCAGAATAATAACAATAACCACACACCAAAAATTAGTATAATAAACCAGAACAATGAGTCAATAATAGTAACACAAATAGCCGGAACAGTAATATATAAATTATACTTTAGTAATTCCATGGTCCAAAAACTTCAGGAGTTGTCACTGTTAGAGAGTGATACCCATTTTTGGGTAAATATATAATGAGAAAGGTACTAATTTTTTATGAAAAGAACCAAATACTACTAATTAAAATTACCAAAAGAAATATATGTATGTGCTCCAAGAATAGCTGGAAAAAGAGAGTAAAATTGAGGAGAACAGTGAAGCTTAAAAC